TTGTGAATTCTCCAACCCTAGAAGTTTTTAAGAAGAGATTGGACAATCATTTGTCTGAAATGGTATAGGGTTTCCTGCCTGAGCAGGAGGTTGGACTAGAAGACCTTCAAGGTCCCTTCCAACTCTGTATTCTATTCTGTTTTATTCTATTTTACTCTACTCTAACGTATCCTACTCTACCCTACCCTACCCTACCCTACCCTACTCTACTCTACTCTACTCTACTCTACTCTAGTACAATGCAGGCTGCAAAATAGCTAGAACTTTCCTCCAATTCTGCACCATTCCCCATTCTTCAGAATTCACTACACAAAGGAGCTGCCCGCACTCTATGCTAACTCACTCAGTAGGCCTTAGCCAAAGGCAAACTAAAGTGCAATACTAGTTAGCTGTGATACAACATAAACTAGCTTTCTGAGATTGTGACTATACAATTGAATATTACAGATTCCTCCCTGCTCCTGCAGAGTTCACTGTGTTTGAGACCAACTTTCAGAATTCCCAGATATCTACCTTGGGAATTCTAGGAGTTGTAAGTCCTCCTGCTCTATGATCCAATTTCAACAATGCCTATGCAATGCTAATACCTTGATATGCCAACCTTTACGCTAGTGGTAAAAAGAATGAATGACTCCATCAATTCCAGTTTCTCCTTTTTGTTTCTCCAGTTAAATTTATTTTGTCATTATTCTGCATAAGTTTGACAATGTGTTAAAGAGGAGCTTGCACAAAAATTCATAGGTATTTTTCCTGATGTATACATAAGCTGTCACAGCCATTTTTGCAAGCAGTGTTCACAAATGCATTACATTTTTATTATTTTCATAATTTATATGCATTTATATTTATTCATTTTATACTGTACATCAAAACTTAGTAAAATGCAAATCTTTAAATTAAATTGAATTCCAATTCAGCTATTGATTTTATATCTGCAGAATCATGATTCATTAATTTCTAAGAAGTTTTAAAAATCCATCAAGTTTATATTCTAGCTTTATTATAGGGTGATTTTTTCCCCTCTGAAAATAACATTACAACTATACTTTATAGCTGATCAAATGGGTTGTAAAATGTTATAAAATAAATATCTGTATATAGTTTGTGTGTGTGTGTGTGTGTGTGTGTGTGTGTGTGTGTGTGTATGTATGTATGTATGTATGTATATATGTATATATATANGGGCATCCTGCACTCTGTGGTGCCTTAATAAGAGCTTGGCCGTCAGCCCGGAGGGAGGCACCAGGGCGGGTGGGGGTGGGCGGGGGGGGGGTAGGTGGGAAGCCCGGCCTTACAAGGTGGGAACCGGACAATTTGCTACGGGCAACTGGCAGTGGGACATATTTAACGCTTCTATTTCATGGTTTAACTGAAATAAAACTTGTTTTCCCTTTTGCTCTTCCTTTCCCTTTCGTTCTGTCCCTCCTTTTCCCTCCTTCCTTTTATTCCACCATTTCTTTGATGTTGTCCCTTTTGTCGCGCCTGCGCGGCAGTTGGAAACTGCTGCATGGCGTTTTCTTGCGATGTGTGCGGCCACGCAGCTTAGAGGGAACATTACCACCAAGCCATACCCACGAAGCCACACCCACAGAATAGGTTGTAAAAAATTTTGAATCCCATCACTGGTGGGAACCTCTTCTGTAAGTGTGGCCTGCTTTCCAGGTCCACTGGTGGAACCTCTTCTTACCAGTTTGGTAGATTTGACGAACCGGTTCTACCAAACTGGTGCGAACTGGTAGGAACCCACCTCTGGACTAAACCTAAGGGGATTAGGGAGCAGATGATGACTGTATCACTCAGCACAAACACACATACTCACAATTCCTTTTTGGCATAAGCAGCATTATGAAAAGTAAGAAACAATAAGCCACCAAAATGAACGTATCAGATAAGAAAAAGAAAAAAGGAAACATAGTTGAACCTAATTTACATCACACCATTTGCTACCATGTTCTATTCTTTTTTCTCATTGCAAAACATTCCTGCTTTCAACATGTCTATATACTACTTTGTACATTTCCTTTGATTCTTCTCTTGCTTGGTAGATTTCACTTGCTTCCTCTGTCTCCGTCTTCCCCTTTCTTTTGACCTATTTACCCTTCCTTTGTCTGCAGGTAGCCTTTGGTTAACAATGGCAATTGGGGCCAGAATTACAGTCACTAAGTCAGGCGTCCCCAACCCCTGGTCATAGACCAGTACCAGTCTGCGGCATGCCAGAAACCAAGCCACGCAAACAAGTGAGTGTTCTGACCTAGGCTTCCCAAGAGCCTGAAGCAAACTCCTTGTCCTGACAAAAAAACCCTTTATGAATTTGCTGTGAATTCTGCTCATTCACATCCAACAAGTCTTTCAAGGGAGGATGTTCAGTCACAGACCTTATCTGCCTTGAAGAGCTGACAGGTCAATGTCTGCAAAACTTGGCAAGAAGTCTAGGAGAGCCATGAACCAATTAAGGGAGTTAATTGTCTCCTGCAAACTCCACTCCCCTTTCTCGCTCCTCTTTCATTTCCTCTGGGAGGAGCCATTCATCAGCCACCTGTGGCCTCACTCCCAAGTTGACCCCTGTTCTTTAGCTGTTCCCTTCATCTGGAAACTCTGTGCATGCGCACACTGGAAACAGGCTCCAGCTGTTTGTCTGTCTCACTGACTCTGAAGGCAGCTGATAACTGGCATACGGTTCTGGCCCCCTCTCTGTCTCCGACACAGAGGCCTCATCAGATCCTTCCTCAGACTCCAGGACTGGCCCATGTTCCTCCCCAACCTCCTCACTGTCTGAATCTGCTGCCAGCTATGCTGGCTGCTGGTGGGTCACAACAGCAAGGGATGCAGGTGGCGCATGAAACCACACCCCTTCCAGATGTTCCATTTGCACTAGAAAACCTAAGATCGGGAGGTACAAATCCCTTCTGAGTGACCTTGAGCCAGTCACTCTCTCAGCCGTAGAAACGACACAGTGGCAAACAATTTCCAAAAACCCTTACTAAGAAAACTTTGGGGACTTGTCCAGGTAGTACCTAGGAATCAGTACAGGCTGAAATACACCCACATGTCCTAGATACATATCTTGCCTAGATATCATTCTAGTTAGTATAATCTTTGTGAAAATTCAGTAAACACATATCATAATGCTGCCCGCTGATGATGCAATTACATCAGCAAGTAATCCAGCTTTAAAAGTGGCTTGCCATCTATCTTTGAAAATAACATTAACATGATAGCTTAACCAATCCTATCAGGGAAAGGAAGGCAGCTGGAGTCCCCTCCTAGATCATTAATTGGATTGCTTTGGGTATTTCTCTCAAAAGCAGAACAACTAAATTGCAATGCCACGACACACAGTCCAGCCATTCCATACAGGGGGGCGGGGAAATCATCTTCTGACCTTTTGATTAGGAAATTAAATCTCACTGGTGACTTTATAGACTCTGCAAACAATATCCCACATATAAGAGATAATGTAAGAGTCCAGAAAAGTATTATTGTATATATGCGTGGTTAGATAACAAAGGATGTAAATAAGAGAGAGATTCAAGTTACATATTTTATATTGCAATATTATGATACATTTTAAATGTTGCAAGCTGCTTTGGAAAGTACATTTAGCAGACATCTCGAATGAAAAATTATAACTATAATGAAAGAATAAACAAACTGCATTGGGTATAAATCAGAGGTGGGTTTCTCCTGGTTTGGCCCAGATCGGCTGAACCGGTAGTGGTGGCAGCAACAGGTTCCGCCCACCCACCCGGATGCTTCTGCGCATGTGCAGAAACATCTTGCACGCACAAAAGCATCGTGGGATGTGCAAGTGCATGCACGAGTGAACCAGTAGTGCTGGGGTTTGAAACCCACCTCTGGTATAAATTCTTGCACAGAGGTACTTCACTTGAACAAGTAACCAGAAACTGTCATAATACAACAGTGGTGTGACTGCCTCCTTATCCAGCCTTGTCATTTGAGATACAGAAGGTTCAGGCAAAACCTGGAATTGCAGCAGCTAAAACAACTTCCTCAGTTAAGGCCAACAAACTGAGGAAATTCCTTTCTGAAATTGGTCAAATTCCAACATGAAATGGGGTCCCAAGAGGCAGATGAATGTCATGAACTAATAGCAGCCATTTCTGATGTCCTTCAAGTTCTGAAATTGAAAAAAAAAAGCTTGCCCTTGAGATGCTTCATGGATGAGGCTTCTGAAGATGTAACACGTTCACGGTCAAGAAAAACCTGCTTATGACATGGGTGCACCTATGGGTCCCCTATAAGCTAACTATGAATATAATGCAAAATAGTAAAATAAGATGTAATTATATTAGATCTTCAACAGCAAAGAGGAAGGATAAGGGAAAAAATCAGCAGCAAAGAGGAAGAATAAAGGGGAAATCCATCCACCTCCTACTTTTATGTTCTGAAACTGAGGTTAAATGGAGGAGCTGTTAGTGTGAACACAAAGTGCAGAAACCAAGAGGGATTTGTATCAACTGTCTTCCAACCTTAGCAACTGTCAAGTGTGAAAAACTACATCCACACCTGACGGTTCAATTGAATGGATTTACTGCTAATAGCAATAGCACTTATTTAGCATGTCATAGTGGTTTACAGCTCTCTCTGAGCCGTTTACAGAGTCAGCCTATTGCCCCCAACAATCTGGATCAACCTTGAACTGGACAGGGTCGAACTCCTGGTAGTGAGTAGAGTCAGCCTGCAATTCTGCATTCTAACCATTACGCCACCAGGGCTCTGCTAAAAATTTATGCCCGTGATGGTGAACCTATGGCATGTGTGCCCAATGCAGCATGCGGAGCCATGTCTCCTGGCACACTCCATTCCTCTTCTGGGTTTCCGGCACGCATGTGCGCATGATAATCAGCTGGTCATGTGGCAATACTGGAAACTGGAAGAGCTGGTCTTCCATTTTCCGGAGTGAGTATGCGCGCCAGCCAGCTGATTATCGTGCATGCATACACGGCATTAACTGGAACACTAGCTGGGCGGCGCGCACGCATGTGCCGGAAACCAGAAGTTCATTTTCCAGTGTGCGTATGCCCAGTGGGCAGCTCCTCTTTCGGATCACGTCCCAGACAAGCGTGTGTGCATGTGAAGTGCTTGCAAGTGTGCGCTCTCCCTCTTTGGCACTTGGTGCCGAAAAGGTTCGCTATCACTGATCTATGTAGAGGAATCTTCTCAACCAACAGTCAGTACCTGGTTAGATAAGGGTCAAAAGCACTCAAGGGGGATTGGAATTAGTACATTTGTGGTTACATAATGACTCTAAACTGATTCATATTATTGCTTCTCTCCATGGCTCTACCATTCTTTTTCTTACAGCATCTTCTAGATTCTCAGCAAGGATTTTGTTAGCTAGGGAACTCTGGGAACATATGTACAAAGAGCTTCAATTATACAATTACTGCCTTCTTGAAGTCTTTGTTATCTCATACCCATATATGTAGCTGCTTGCTTCGTATAGAAAAAAAATACTATCAGTGAGCAGTAAAAGTTTACTTACCACAATGATTTTTGAACCAGATAGGATTTAAATTGATGGGTGGGCTGATATTAAGGATATGACCAATCTTACTCTTTCTCAAATGAGGAAGGCACAGTTTAGATCTGAGGATATGAACAAACACAAGAAAGATTTGGAACTCTAATCAAATTTTATACCAAACTAGCTGATAAAATTTTATACCAAACTAATTTTATACCAAACTAGCTGATAACCCAGCGCTGCACGGGTATTGATTTATCCCAACCCTCCTTCCATGAATATCACCCCAATTTCTAATGTTTCATTTTCCTCCTTACCAGAGGACCCCTTTGTAGAGTACTGCGAAGCCGTTACCATGGCAACTCCACAGCGCTGTACAGTAGGCAGTACGGTAGAAGCCATTTTAAGGTACAACAGGCTATATCTTACCAGAATACACACCCTGAGAGGTGTTAGAGGTGCCTTATCCCCCACAGTATTGCTTTCCAGAGAGTAAGTAATTTGTGTACCAAGTTTGGTTGAAATTGTTCAAGGTGTTCCAGTTATGCTGGAACATACACATACACAAAAACACGTGTGTGTGTGTGTGTGTGTGTGTGTGTGTGTGTGTGTGTGTGTGTGTGTGTG